GTGACAAAATGACTGATAACATGACCGTTACCATGGCAATATCAGTGATGGGGATGTCAAGTAATCTTGATTTAGGTCAAAGCTGATGAAGTAAAAATTATAACAAAATACGTGAGAGCTGCTTAAGATTTCTGTTTTTTTAAAACAAAAATCTATAAATGTAACAAATACAAAAAAAGAAAGAAAAAAGATAAGACTCAAATTATAGTTACTGCACTTTGCCTTTGCATATAGCTGTTTAAGGTAATACAAAGGCAGTAACTAAAATTTGAGTACATTTTCAGGGTCATAGTTCAAATCATGGATCATTTTTTTCAGGCATAAAAATTACTCTGTGAATAACTTTTTAATAAGTGCATGGCCCCTTTCCTACTCATTTAGCTGGACAGTCACAAACAATGTAAAGCCATTCTCCTCAGTTTAAGTGTTAGCGTAGCTACTGCGGTTAGCCTTTGTAGGACAGCATAGCTATACGTAACCTTTTTTGCTCTTCTTAAACTTGTGGACATTTTTTAAATAGATCATTTTGATTAAGTAACCCATCTAATAGGTTACTGAGCCTTTTACTGTGACTCTGTTACAGGTGACATTAGGAAATCTGGTCTGAGAAAATTTCCTGTTTGAGGAAGATAAACTGTCACTAATTTGGGTCCAAGTCTTACTCAAATGTAGTGAAAGCCATTTGTCCATTAGCCCTGTACTCCATGACATGAGGCAATGACATGTTGATGTGTGTTTGTTCCCACTAAAGAAAAAAAATGATCAGCATACAGAAAAACTAACAATTTAATACCATTTATATATTAGGAAGAACAAGGGTCCTATGATTGACACCTGTGGAACGCTACATGTTACTAATACTGTATTTATGTACTGAGTATGATTACTCAGGTATGATTTAAACTAAGTAACTATAGGTTACCACAGCCTCCAAGTGATTGTATAACTTTAACTTTTGTATTGTATTTAATTAAAATAAAATAAAAAATAAATAGATAGAGCATTAGGTAGATCTTACAAATGTCGGACTGTGATGTCATCGCTGCCTGTGGCTTGTGTTATATATCCTTTAAAATATAGCCATTTCTTTTAGACTTACTCCAGTCATTAGTTTCACACATTTTCAAATAGTCAATATCTAATCAGGGTGTCTATAGATATCAGACACTTACATTCAGTGCTGACTAAACCACAGACAGATTTCTGGACAAATTATCTTTATCTTATCGAAGGTAAGGTAAGGTAAGTGCAAGTATAAAGTAAAAAGACAGTATTAGATTCAATAATATGTTTAAAGATTTTTAAAATCAGAAGAGCTTGACTCATTTTGACAAAATATTAAAAGATGGATAAACGAAATTACATAACATTTTTGTGGCAATTAAGAACTCACCTGTTCAAATTTGAGATTATTTTACTACTTTTAAGGCCTAATATTTATAAAGTTGAATTTAAGATCTTTTAAGGCTTTTTAAGGACATGCAGACACAGCCTCCTCCATTTCAAATACAGATACTGTACTCCTCAAACAGTAGAATGAGCCATGCCTTGCCTAATGGACATCGACAAGCTCTGTGTAACAGTAAAACTACAGTATGCGTATCTGTGCAATGTTCACAGCTCCTCATCAAGCCTGACCTGGTTTAGTCTGACACTTCTGCCGGTCTGCATACAGAAAGAAAAACATACCAGTACAGATACAGCAAACACACACACACACACACACACACAATCCAGCTGGCCATCAAATACCTCTCTCAGCTTTTTGCAAACACAAAGACTCCAACAAAATAAGTCACAGTCAATCACACATACAGACACTCACATTAAAACAATATATGCCTACGCACACAGAGATGCCATCTCCCGGTCAATCTACCACCTCATTCAAAGAGACAGAGGGATATTTGTAGACCTCCCACCAATGATGATGAGTCTATTAACCCCAAGGCTTTTGGGTCAGACGAGAACCTTTCCACTCCTCCCCACTGCATTCATGAATGAGCTGCAGGACTCGGGAGCAGAGTTGTCAGCTCTCTGGCAGCCTTGTTCACATCAGCCCCAGAAATGACTGTATCAGACGGCTGAGATTTCTCTTAAGTGCCCCTCCATGTACTTTTTCCTCTGATGACAAATAGGACTTGGCCTTACCTTTCCTTGAAGGGGGAGCAGCGGTAATAGAAGAGGAAATGAGGAAATCTAATCATGGCAATGATGATGATGATGATGATGATGATAATATACATTAACAGGTGGTGATACTTTATGGACAGACAGAAGGATTTGATTTGGATGCTAATTGTTGAGCAAAGAAAGCAAGTGGTTAGATCGCCACAGTGGAGACAAAATAAAATTTGAGAGGAAGTAGTATGTGGCTGTTTTACCAATTTAAACCAACTGTAGTGTGTTGGTGCTGTGTGGACTAAAAATGTTGTAATGAGAGTGCTGAAACTACAGTGGGCATGAAATGAGCTAACCCTGAGTGACTCCCCTGAGATACTGGAGATGGATTATGAACCTGTGTGTGTGTGTGTGTGTGCTGCTCTCCTCTCGCACGCACTCTCCCTAGCTCTCTTGAGATAATTCCTTTACGACTGTCATTACATTATCATAACACTGTCTAATGAACATAACCTTCCATGGCTAATTTGAATGACTCCTAACCCTCTGTCTCTCTCATTTCCACTGAATGACTTAACCACGTTAGTCCAGTCAGTCAATGACAACGAACACGTTAAGGAGATGGATTTCTGCCTCTGAGATGTGCGAGGTAACGATTGTTTCCAAATCTGGGGGCTGGGACCTCCACATGGAACCGCAGGAAAAATCTGAGATTATTGGACAAGCACAAAAAAAAGACATTTCTGCAACTTGCCCATTCCCTTATGAATCATTGATAGTTTCTTTAGAATTCTAACAACTATGCTAATACATAAAAAAGGGTCACTCTTTGGTTACACCTGGCACAGCTGGTAGACATGTAACCAGTGACCAATAATGTTCCAACGCACAAAGAAATACTTTCTACTCTAAATGCACTTATAAATAATTAGCTTTTATTTTATTAGGACACAGTTAGCATTCAGTTGAACCAGGAACCCTGTTGTTGTTGTTGTGAGGCGACAGTGCTAACCACTACACCACCGTGCCACCCCACAATAAACATGAGATTATTTATTTTTCATTAACAGTTAACTCATATCAATGAATAAAGTGATACTTAAAAACACATTGCATTTTTATTTTGCATTGTAATCATCATCACAACTTAAAATATCCTTAATTTCTTAAGTATCTCCAAAAAAAAAGTATGTTGAAAACCTCCAGAGATGAATATTCTGTGGATTTAATTATTCGCATGTATTATAAACTGATTGTGTTATTACTAAATCAAATCCAAACAGTATTCCCCTATTTAAACAGTATTTCTTCTCTCACTGGTGCACGGTATTATGACGAGTCCAGGTACACGCTACCATGCACATATTACCTCGTCACATCATCAGAGACTTAACATTGGATAACATCATCATACATCTGTATACAACAAAAAATACCAAAGAAAACAATAAATTAAAAAATTAATTTAAAATTTTTAGTAGTTGATTTAAAGGTATAGAATATTTGATTTATAGTTATAAAATAAGAATGCAATTTTGTTAAAGATGCTATTGACTATTTTACAAAAATACAAAAAATAAACATGATAGTGATGAGTTTAGCTTTTTCAAGGGCATATATTTTTTTTAGGGCTTTTTTGCATTTAATTGATAGGACACTTAGCATGAAAGGGGGAAAGAGGAGGGTGATGACATGTGCACAAGACCGTAGGTTAGAATTGAGCTTGAGGCCGCTGCAGCAAGGACAAGGCCTTTTTGCCTGGAGCATCTGCTCTACCCGGAGAGCTAATGGGCGCCGCTGCACTGTCTTTTAATTTATTGAGAATTCTTCTTTGAACGCAGGCATATTGACAAGGTGGCAATCACTCATAAGGGCCCATTCTGCACCCAACATATTGTTGGAGGGCCCACTCTCTCTATGGGCCCTCCACTTCCAGGTCCCAGTGCAACCACACTGCCTGCACTGTCTATGTTTACACCCCTGTCTCCTCTTCATTTTCTGGTGACATTCAGATCCACTGTCCATTCCATGGGATGGATATTTTTGAAAAAATCCTGAGTAAACACAATAAATCTTTCACATGATTATCAACATGTATAAGTAATATAACATTCATGTTTACCTTTAACACGGTTTAAACACAATTAATGTACCTTAACAATAGATTTAGAGACTGAAACATGCCTTGAGCTTCCTCCTTGCTTCATGATCGGCCACGCTCGTTAACAAAGGGAGTGCAGCTCTATTGTAGTCTACTTTAGATGATGAGTAACACTTTGATTGGTTTATAGACATCCCAACATAGGATTCAGGCACACATCCTAGAAAAGTTATGTCCATTGGAAAGGACAGAGGATTTGAAGGGGATTATTTAAAGAGTAACAAGGCAAAAAGGCAGCAGTAGGACACGATTAAAAAAAATAAATAAATAATTAAGTTAGAAATTCCAGTATTGTGACAACACTACTATAAGAACATTAAACGTGTTGAGATCTCTGTGAGAGTTCAGCAGGGAGGAAAGATGCCACCTTGTGTCGTAGACTGCTTTTTCCATTTTCAGCAGCATCATGATTGAGGCAGACGCTGTTTCCTCGGCTCAGCCGTAAAGAATCTGAGTACACTGATGGCCTTAGTGTGCGTTAGTGAGAGGAAATGCTGACTTAAGCGCCCTAAGAGAAGAATCTCAGCAGATACAAAGATGTTTTCTGTGCCTTACGAAGCAGAGTTATGTGTTACTGTAAAATCTGCGCTTGGGATGGAAAGCTACATGCTGTCATCTACTGTTCATTTTGGGCAAACACAGCACAGCACGCTCCACTCTGCCTTCAGAAAGCCACAGATGCTTTTTCAATGCAGACAATAAGACACAAAACAGCAAATGTAGATTTAGTGTTTTAATTATTACGTCCTGTTTAATTGCATTGGCAGTTTGTTTTTTTTATCATAATGAATTGTGCCCGATATTTAAGGGCAAAACAGTGGTTAAAAAATATAATCATGTTATCAAATATAAGACTGCTCTCATTATTACACATATTCCATATACAGTTATTGAACACATATAGTTTTTGAATACAGACTCTAACATGTAAAAATATATCATGACTAACTCATGACATGTGACTACAGGATACTGATATGATGATAAACACATTCAAAGAGCATGAGAAGGGAATAATGCTGATTCAGACCAGGACTGGAGAGACAACATTTTCCCTCTCTACCCTCTCTGTCCTTGGTCCAAAGCAAACTCTGTACACTTGACTACATCTCTGTAACATTGGTTGATTTGCACTTGAGGTTTCAAGCGAGCGTTTGGTCAAGGTTGTGTAAACAGTTTTGAAAGGCACAAGATTATGCTCCGCTCTGTACATCTGTTCATTCTGTGGAAAGAGAAAAGAGGAATGTTCTCCATTGGCACCAGGAGGAGTATGTTCTAATCCACAGCAATGTGACAGTCCCTCACCAGCATCTGCAAGATACCTGCTGATATCTGAGATATTATCCTATGCAAATAATTACATACATAGTGCATTCCCTTTCTTATACCAAGCCGCACCGCTCCTGCCTAACTCAAAGCGACAAATTTCCAATATCCCATTTCCAGTTTATTAAGCTATACAGTATATTCAAGTATTAAGAGACCCATTGCAAAGTCTTAAAAAGCTAATTCTAAGCTTAACTCTCCCGCTACCAAGCAATGAGAGCTAAACTGCTTTTAAGGCAAACATTTGGAATAAAATATGATATGAACCCCCCCTCCCCACCCCCCGGACTCCGCCCAGCATTGGATTGCATTAGTATGTAGAAAAAGCCACTGGTTGGTGTTTGTAAAGTTGTTCTCTTTACAAACAAGCTTTTAAACAACCTCTGACTCATGCCGCGCCAAAGCTGGAGGCAGCGTGGTTCCACATGGGCCCTGGAAATGGAACCTGAGCCACAGCACACACACAGAAAAGACAACAAAAGGTGAGGATTATAGGTTAACAGGTGAAAGCTCACTCATTCTGTGCATCCCATGTCTCTTTAATCGCCTCCATGTTTGCTGAACTTGCGTCTTTTCCTTGAGTCTAGTCCCCACCATTGTGGATGCACGGAGAAACACAAGGAAACCATGCGAGAAGAGGTGACGCAAGGAATTATGTTTTTGGAGACATTTTGTAGGGGTGTGCTATTTCATCTCATTCTGTTACTGGTATCATTTTTAATATCATATGAAAAATTCGGTAACACTTTACTTGAAGGTATCTACATAAAGGTGACATGACACTGTCATAACTATGACAGAACCTGTCATGAACATTATGTACATGTCATAAATGTTTATGACTGCTGTCATTAAGTGTCATTCGGTTTTTGTAATGACAAGTTGACATTAAGACAACAGCAGATTAAGTGCTCATGTGGGTTGCAGTATCATGGTATCCAGGAAGGTGCTCTTTGGTCAGGAAGTGTAGAACATCTTGAAAAAAACAAAATCCAAGGCAACTCTTCTCTGGTGCAAAAGTTAAAAGGCCTTTATTAAATGGCTAGTTCATGATGAACATTAAAATCACCAACATGTTTCGGCCATGCTCACTGGCCTTCATCAGGGCATATAGCTGCAGGGTTCACAGGTGGCCTAAATGAGGCCCTACTCAGACATAGGTGGAGCCAATCAGCACTCCATTTGCCAGACTGCAGGCATATAAGCAAAACTCCCTTTACACAATGCACTCATTTCGGCCAGTGAGCATGGCCGAAACATGTTGGTGATTTTAATGTTCATCATGAACTAGCCATTTAATAAAGGCCTTTTAACTTTTGCACCAGAGAAGAGTTGCCCTGGATTTTGTTTTTTTCAAGACAAGTTGACATTGTTTGGCTTGTCTTGATTATGACAACTTGACATTAATCAAAGTGACATTACCAGAAGTTGTCTTTGTCATAACAAGTTGACATTAAATATGTTTGGAAAGTCCTTACTTTGAAAACTTGACATTAACCAGGATGACATATTGTCATGACAACTTCACATTAACAAGAAATGCACCTTTTTTGTGTTTATGACAAGTTGACATAATAATTATTATTGTTATGACAAAGACATCTTCTGGTAATGTCATCCTGATTAATGACAACTTGTCATCATAAGGACATCCCAAACAAATCTAATGTCAACTTGTCATGACAAAGACAACTTCTGGTAATGTCACTTTGATTAATGTCAAGTTGACATAATCAAGACAACCCAAACAATGTCAACTTGTCATTACAAAAACCGAATGACACTTAATGACAGCAGTCATAAACATTTATGACATGTACATAATGTTTATGACAAGTTCATGACAGTGTTATGTCATAGTTATGACAGTGTCATGTCACTCTTATGTAGATGGAATTAAAAAATTCTTACTGTGGTACTCATGACATATCATTATAAGTCATACTGTTACCCACGGCAATAACAAGCATGGCTGAAAACGAAATTATTACAGACTGCATTGGTTCCACAAAGAGGAGCAGCTTCAGTAGTGTGGAATAAACTGTGGCGTCCTGAATGTTTTATGAACAGCCCCGGACTTCTCAGACTCTTTTAGCTATTTTGATTCAGAGGGAACTCATTCAGCGGCTCCTCTGGCAGCAGCACAGCGTCTCTCCCTCTCCTCTCTCAAGTCGGTGTCGTCAAGTGATTTTGTCATAAACCTCTGGTAATGTGAACCTAAGTGACGCTCACAGCTCGACAGTAAACTCCATATATGTGAATGTGTGATAGTTGTGGTATCATAACAGCCTGTCACAGGTTACAGTGTGATGATTAGAGGAGAAATGGCAGAGCATAAAGGTCCAGACTGTGGGAAAAAAACTCAATCATTTAGGATTTTAATAAAAGAAGGAAATCACCTGTTGATTTATATAAATAGATCCCAGGGGACATTTTTTGTATTTGAGAGCTGTTTAAATGTGGAATAAGTGGTAGATTTTATATTGTACACAAAATCTGAATCTCACTCTGAGTTACTGTTGTTGTTTACAAACTAAAGAAATGAGAGATCATTTTAGTGTAGTTGTTACTGAATATTTGAAGGCAAACTGTAAAACTACATCACTTGTTTTATTGCAATTCCATTTTCCTAAATTAATAATATAGATATGTGTTGTTGGGATTTTTTTTACCAATTTGTCATATTGTTAAGAACATCATTAGCACAAATATACCCTGAAATATTGTGACATTATTTTAAGGCCATATCACCCACCCCTAGAAATTAGACCTCCTTGCCTCTAAAGCATCATATGAAGCAACATCCGTTTCCTGTGACACCGCAGCTGATCACAGATGGATCAGATATCAGTCGGCGTCAACAGCAGTAGAGAGCTGGTGGTGTTTGCATGTGTAGTAATACAGGCACAAAGCGGTAGTGTCTTCTCTCTGTTTGACAAACACCTGCACATAAATAACCTACTTTCTTTATTTATACTGTGAACTGTGTCCTGCTCAATGCGTTTACATTATTTATTCATTTTTTGCCTCTGTATTTATTCATAAATGGTGGTGAATTCATAATTTTATAACCTATAATATGATTATGGTGATCACTGAACACTGGAAATGATTTATTATGCTAAATGTTTAAGGGAAAATATTATGTAACTTATCAAACCTGACACTCCAAATTATTGGCCTCACGTGTGACTGAATGGATATGACAATGAATGATGTCAAAAGCGTTTCTAGCAGACAGAAAGACTCTGACTTCAACTGCATCTATAATGAAAGTTAATGGGGGAAATAACAGCTAATAAAAAGAAAAAATCTGTCTAATAAATGCAGAAATTTAAACAGCTGATTTATTTTTATTAGATGGTAAGTTAAACTTGCGAGTGACACACTTGAGTTTAATCTGTCTTCAGTCCGGCATGAAACTCCTGTGATGTTGTGATCAGATCAGTCCGATGGGTAACTGAGATCCAAAAAGGGTTGCTGGCCGATAAAAGACATGCAAGCTGCTCTATCTCCTCGCTCATCGCTCATCAGAGCACAAATAAGAGCTCTGACACAGCCTTCAAGATGCTGCACCAGAGCGACTTCTGGTTAAAGCGAGGGGCAAGAAAATGTTAAATAAGAGACATGGGATGCACCCATTGATTCAACCTAACAAATACTGGGAATGGGCCTGAATGTTGCTCATGCTGCCAGTGGATGGCACTACATACCAACATTTGCATGCATCATTATCCACCGGTCTAGTTTGCCTTTTAATTCATGTATTTTCATGCTAACTTCATTCATTATAGAACCAGACAGGCAGCATCTTTTTCAACACTCAGTTACTTACGTGAAGTACTCCGATTTTGGAGTAGGATTTGTGTTAAATTCAGCCACCGGGATGCCCCTCGATGCAATCTGGGGGCCAAACATGGCTGCTGGGTAAACGATTGAAGACGTGCCCACCTAGAGGTTAACATCAGGGAGCGATGACACCGGTGTCAGCTTAAGATCTACAGTATGTACAGTATTGTATTTCAGCTCTAGTCCTTGATTCTGAACAAACACTGTTTTATGTAATATTACACAAGAGGAGAATATATGACATGTATGCATGTCAACATGAGGATGACTCACCACCAGACAGAGATCACATGTTTCCATCTCTTTCTCCACTTTGGTCAGGATGTGAGAGTCCAGGGTTTCTCCAAAAAACACCAAGTTGGGCCTCAGAAGACCGTGGCAGTCAGGTTCGCCGCACCTTGATACAGCAGCGATAAACAGTCGGAAGATTAATTGTGTTACTCTGCATTTATCAAAGAATAATTAGCCACGACACAAAGGTGTAAATTCACACATATGTATTTGCACTTGTTGTGTGGCCAGAGGTGCAACATGCTTGACTTTTAAAATCCATAAAGAACAAAGAATGATGATGATGATGTAGAAATTAAAAATAACTTCTTGTTATATTTGCTGAATTTTCACAGCAGGACAGATAGTCTGTGAAAAAAATCATGTTCCTCCTCCTCCTCGTACTGCTTCGAATGACACTTCCTAGAGTCCACCACAGCTTAACTAAAACAGCCAATCAGAGCTGAGATGTGTCTAACACAGCTGTCAATAATGTCAATCACGGCTCATGAACTGCGGTCAAACTGTCAAACTAGACAGCGCTAATAGAATGCTTTCAGAAACATATTTTAGTGTACTGTTTAGCTGTGAAATGAGACGTTTTGTGACCCACCTGCTACATTGGAATCAGTCAGGCCAATAACTAAGCACCGCCCACCAGCTGGAGCAAACTCTCTAATTTTCTAGCTAAACAGTACACTAAAATATCTTTCTATAAACATCTGACATTTTTTTTTCACTTAAATCTTTATTAAAATATTTTTTGTGACACTGACATGTCGGTTACAACAGGATAACAAAATTATTTAAAAATAATAAAAGCTAACAAAACAAAAACTTCTTGGGTAAACACACATTTTTACATATATTGACTATCATTCCAATCCTGTGTTGTCTTTTTGAGACTTGTATAGAATCCATTTATCCGATTTTCTTGTTTTCTAGTTGTGCTTCTTGTAGTCTCAGTATGTGTTTACATTTCTCTATTAAAAAGATTTCTTCCACAAGTGTTAGCCATTGGCCCTTTGTTGGTGGTGTTTCTTTACCTCAGTTCCAAGTTAGCTTTCTTGCTTGCTACTAGCAATATTGTGATCAAATATCAATCATTAGCAATAATATTTTCTTCAGGGAATGTACACAGATAAAGCACCAAACAACTGTTAGGAACATCATATCCTAGTATGTGCTGGAGCTCTCTAAGACATCTGACATTTAACAGAATCCTGATACATATTTACCTGCGCCAAGGAGGTTATGTTTTCGCCAGTGTTGGTCTGTTTGTTTGTCTGCAAAATAACTCAAAAAGTTATGAACGGATTTTGATGAAATTTTCAGGAAAGGTGGATAATGGGACAAGGAATAAACGATAAAATTTTGGTGGTGATAGGTTGAAGCAAAGTGGATAAAATAATAAATAAAGTCTATCGTCTGACAGCCTCAGCAGCAATTCCAATTTCTAAAGACGGTAAAAATAGCACCGTCTGGTGGCCGGAAAGCATGTCTTGTTCTACTTGCTAAATATTGTTGTAATTCTAAAGTTGAAATTAATGTTCTGTGTTGGGAAAAAAGAAAGTGAAAAATACAAAAAAACATTATATTCTGTGTTGGTACAAAATAAAAACAAAATAAATACACCACAGTGTCTCCATGGTGAAGGCATATATACCCTAATAATCATAGTGATGCAAATAACCTAATTGTGATGCAGGCTGCAAAATCTGATGCAGAGGGGGAGGGAATATCACCTACTTGGCGGAGGTCTGCACTCTCTGAGTGCTTTTCTAGTTGATAGTGCTGCCTAGTTTGACAGTTTAACTGAAATTCACGAGCAGTGATTGACATGACTGACAACTGAATGAAAGCATCACTTTCTTGCTGTTCTTTATTGTTCAACAGTATAACCCATGTTCCTTTTTTGTATGTGCATTTGAGCTAAAACTCAATTTTTTGGTCTGTGAGTGTGCAACACTTTGGCCATATTTAGCAACAGTTGCTAGCCTAAGGTCCCTGGGGAAAGTCAGAATTTTCATAGCAAACCACTACCCTCACATGGAAGCCCTGACTCCACCATCACTTATATGGGGATTGAGTGTAAATCCCAGGTTACCTCAGTCCATTATAAAACCAAGTCCTGTGGGGCAGAGCTCCATAGAAATATTTTCTTCATTGAATTTGCACTCACAGTGATTTACTCGAGCAGCAGCTTGTTGCTACACCAGCACAACATAAATTCTATCAGTGAAAGAGAGGGAGGGTGCAAGTTTAAAAAATGATGACACTGTTAGCCCAGAAAACCAAAGATCTATTGCTTGTATTTATCTCATTAATGGAATACTCATTAAATCAAATTCTAAGGGAATAAAAAAGAATAGGGGGAACTTAATTAGATGCACAAGGAACTGCAACAGGTGGTGAGGGAGAGCTGGGACACAGAGGGCGCTGAGCAGGAAGGAGAAGCAGGTCCAGCAGCAGCTCAAAGCAGAGCAGGTGGAGGGTGGAGATGCTGGTTAATAGAACTCATGTCTCACAAGCATACCAAATTAATTCCACTTAATCTCTCTTATCTGAAGAGCACAGCTGGTATTACACTGAGATTCCACCATTAATTGAACGTTAAGTTAATGTTTAATGACCACAAACTGTCATCTCTTTGCTTTTGGTGTTATGGGATGTTCAGATATTTTGTTCCTTTGTTATATGACTTGTTTGCTGCCATAGATTTCTGTGCAACGCAGGTTCGTTAATGCTTTTCTTTCCCGACACAACCTTCCCTTTTAACATCCTTGCACCTGCTCTTTAACAGCAGGGAATTTTTCATGTAAATTAGCTCACAATTCTTCCTGATATTTGCACAATCCTCCCTCAGATGCATGTATAAATAGAGGAGAGAGACACCTCAGTGCTGCCATGAATGCACCAAAGATGACAGGTAAATTGTGTTTTCAGGCTGGTGCACCTCTTTAAAGGCAGAATGAGTAGGTTTGGATGCAGTTTGTAAACACAACATTTAAAGTTGGCCCCTCCTCCCCGGCTCAACAGCTCCTCCTTGCTTATGATCTGGCACATGGTCACTATGTTTTTATAGAGTCCCGCCCTCACACCCTGCGAATTAGGCACCGCTGCATAAAGGTTGACACATCAAGCACACAGCAGATTAAAAAAATGCATCCCCTCTGTTAACCTGCCATCCTATTCCATCCCCTGAGTCCAGACCCTGACATCATCCTATCCCATAACCAATAAATCATTGAGAATTATTACATTTTAATTGAATTTCTGCAGAGTTTTATGGGTTATGGGTTTATGGGTGCGTACTCCCACAGCGCTCAGGTGAGGCCTTTGCTTTATAAAAAGGTAGCGACCAGGTGCCAGACCATAAGCAGCAGGCATCCAAGAGACACAGCATCCAAAACATGCAAATACGAAAATACATGCAAATTTTACTTTCACTGGCGAGCGTTTTTACAAACAGTAACTGACAATCCTGCTCATCTATTTAAATCTGTGCATTCCCATAAGCATTGCCACGGAAGGGAGACGAGACCAAAGACAACAGTCAGAGAAGTAAGTGAATCAGAGAGAAGTAATTTCACATGACGTGTTCTAAGGAGATACGAAGAAAACAAAAAATAGAGCTTTTGATCAGGAATGAACAGACTCTGATGCTGATTCTTCCCTTGGGCAGATCAAAACCAGTAGGTCACATCATATGATCAGAGATACTGGCAATTATAAGTGGCAATGTGAGCAGCACTGTGAGACAAAGCACGGGGAATCTTTTGAGCAAACGCACCCACTATAAACCAGCTGAGGGCACAGAAAATAAAATATTGTTCAATTATTTAGTTTGTTACATGAAACCATACAAGGTACAACTCCAGTAAAGTGGCACAGAATCATTGAATCATGACGCAAGTTAGACATTAGACATGGTGGGGGTGTCCCCCCCTGTTAAAAATTAACAAAGTGCCAACTGTGCTCGACTCTATACATCACATTTAAGGAAAATCTGACCCATTCTGCCTTTAATAAGGGAAAACGCAAGGTGTGTTGTGCGTCAGAAAAGCAGTGCCAAAGGCTTAGTAAATCTGACCTCGAAGTTATTAATATGAAGTGACAGTAATCCCACCTTGGCAGTTTATCCACAGGAATCTGGGCATCAGCAACATCTGGGTGAGGTGAGCTGCACGTTAAGAGAACAAACACAGCGAGTTAAATGACACTGTACCCACGCTGGGGTCAACCTGACGAGATCAGCCTACAAATCTTGCATGTTTATCAGTGTGTGTGTGTGTGTGTATACTCCAGAGGTGCTGCCTTTTACCCTTTGTCCTTTAAGGCAGCGCATATGGGGCTTCGCTTGTTCACGGTCACATGTCCACAACTCACACAGCGCGTCTCCATCAGATTGCCTGCGGTTACACATGCAAAACACAGCTGTTTTTCATTCAGGCCTGCCGGAGTCACAGAAAACATCTCCCTCACCACAGACTTTGTTGACAGTGATAGTTTTGTTTTTCTGACTCATACACAGTTAATTAAAGCAAGATTTTAGCAAATAAAACAAGCACTTTTGCCACAATCCGCCCCAAAACGGTGTGAAAACAGAAAAGTCAGACAAAGCTGTCTTGTTAAGATTGAAATGCGAGAATCAACTCTTCAAATTATGTCATCAAACTTCTTGGAGTTGGTGTACTGACATTAAATAAGTGACTAAACTCTGTGGGCTCATGGGATGTTTGTTTGAAAGACCAACAACTACAGTATGAATCACAAAATGATTCCATATTCCAGTAAAACCAGTGGATACACAATGGTGCAATCATAGCTTCCAGTAATCACTGACTACAGAGAGGCTTCAGAATTTCAGTTAGAGTCTGCTTCATTATTTTTTTTATTAATCCTGATAGATAAATTAAAGGAACGGTGTGTAAGACTTGGGGGGATTTAGCGGCATCTTGTGGCGGGGACTGCAGATTGCAACCAGCTGAAACTTCTCCTGCTTAGCATTCCTTCAGTGTTAGGTTGTAACTGGGAGCCGAATTATCAGCAGAGGCCTCTTCCTCTCCATAACAAACGGACCAGGTGATTAAAACCAGTAAAAACACTGAATAAAATCGGTGTTTTGACGATGACATTTGGCATGTCTAAGACGGGCCGCTAGCCTAGCAACTGCTCATGTGTGCTCACCTTTTTCTCCAATAACTTAAGATCCAGACGCTCAGAAGGTTTTCACGAGGAGTAAGATTATCCGCAGAGGTCTCAAGGGACCGTAAACTATGATGGCCCTATCGAGAGCCATTGTTTGGTTTGTGCGCTCTGAGCTACTGTAGAAACATGGCGGTGCAACATGGCAATCGCCATGGTCGAGGACCTATGTAGACATAAACAACTCATTTTAAAGTAACGAAAACACGATGATTTTTGTTTTCACACACTAAAGAAAACATACTAATTATATAATATTCCATTTCTGCCAATATATACACATAAATCCTCCACACTGGACCTTAACGTCTTTTTATTTTACCCTCCCTCAGCATTTTTGTCTGCAGATGGCAACTTGTTCAATCGTAAACTTCAAAAGAAAAACACATCAGTTTATTTTTATTATTTTTCCTATACAATTAGTACTCAGTGCAACAGAAAACTTCCTGTGAAATTTCACTATTTCAGTCTCACCGTGAACCTTGAGCACATGTTTGGACCCAGCCTGTCGGTGCAGGTCGTCGATGCACTGGGTGATGACGACCACTGAGCGTCCCTGCTTCTTCAGCCGGGCCTCACACTCTGCTATAGCCAGATGGGCAGTGTTGGGTTTCTTGCCCAAAGTCATCTCCCTTCTGTAGTGGTAGAACTCCCAGACCCGTGACGGAGTGCGGGAGAAAGCCTCTGGGGTCGCCAGGTCCTGAGGATGCATCAACAGAGGCATGTTTTAGGTAGAGGGTAGCAATCATAAGGGTAAGATTTAGAGGCAGGAATTGCACAGATGCTAAAAGCAGCATAGATTAAGTTTAAACACCTAAATTAGGGAGCAGATTATGATTTTTTTTGTATGAAAGACTATTTTCAATTCGTTCCTGGAGGTAAGTCTTGCTGCAGCCCACGACAAGCATCCAGATTATGCAACATACACCACTTCTCTCTTTACTGGCTGTTGCTGCTGAGATAAATCCACTGAGCTGTGAAGATGTATTATGTAAACATTAAGTACACCCACTTCACAGCAACAACTCTGAACCACAGCTGGAAATTAAACCAAACACTAAACTTTGACCTAAATAAAATAAAGGACAATAAATAAATAATACAGCCGCGCAGAAGTGTGTGTGTTTTGCTTTTTCAGAAATTACCTGAGATTGCCACTTTCTCCACTTCTCATTTTCTCCCCTGAAGGTTGGTACTCCACTCTCTGCACTCACACCGGCCCCTGTGATGATTGCTATGTGCTTGGCTTTGGAAAAGACCTCGCGGAATTCAGACATGTCTGTCAGAAAAGCAACAGAAAATTAAGTGCTTTTTAATTGTCTTGATATGTTTTGTTACTACTGATCATTCTTAACTTCTTGTCGTGATATTTAGTAAGAGGTTTAAGTTTTTTTGAGACTACATGTAGAAATATTAAAGTGTTTTTCGGTCTCAGTCACAGACTTTGCATTAGTGGAATCAGGAACAACTGATTTGAGAAAGAGGTCTATTTATGTGTCTGTACCTTTTTGTGAGGCGTCACAAAAACATGCAATTTGAACATTTCACTGAATAATTATGTTATGCACAGTGCCTGCCAAGAAGGATGCACCAATATTAACTTGACACAGCAGCAAATCAGCATTATATGAATCTAAGAGTCTTTTTTTGCTTTTCTTACCTGAGTTGGGTCTCGCTGTATCCACCAAATGTCCTCTCGACACATGAGTGGAGCACATGCGAAGACCAAGAGCAAACACAGCTCGATTTTGGAGCAGCATTGTCACTATTGTTACAGAAGAAAGAGAACACAAAATGACAAGAAATTATCATGAAGTCCCTCTTTTAACTCATACCTTTAGTCGTCAACCTGGTGGTCTGCACGACATGCATTATGACTATTCTGTACTTAACTCTTCCTCACAAACTCATGATGTGCATCCAAACAAACCCACACAAAGGTCCCAAGGACAGCAAATACGTCACACTACATTTGAGACATATGTGGGTCTGCATGTTATGCAAAATGAAAATCATATTGCGATTATTTTGACAGATACTGTGATGGCAAAATGAGTCACAATTTTAGCGGGAATGGTCATTTTTGCATTTCATTTTCACTGAACAAAAGAAATATAAAAATGCTAATATGATTTTTTGCTGGTGTACCAAACACGCATGTTCCCTTACATTTGGAATATGATTAGAAGGCCAGACCATCTCTGCAGCACCACAATGCTTCAGTCACATTTTACCTTTATCAACAAATTCCAACTCCTGCAATTTGGATATTGCACTTGGCCATATTGCAATTTCAATCATATGCCTATATGCACATGGTGTAATAGTGTGGCCATAAAGAACATGCCGTCTTGTTTTGTTTACTCATCAGTAGTTGCAGTGATAGGTGGGAAAAGCACATACTCAACAGTGCTCTGAGATATGACACTTTGGAGTTATTTTAAATGGGGAATTCAATAGAGCTAAGCCTGTGTATGTGCAGCTGCCTCACTATAACATCACTTCAACATATGAAACTGCCCATAGCGCACCAAAGGGAATGCCAAAATCTCATGGCACACCTGTATTTATAACCATGCACAACAGCCTCTGTAATGTGTTTTATCACTCTTATCATGACATATGTTTGTATTTTTTACTCATATCAAATAACAATTGCCAACCAACTATAACTCATGAAGAATTCATTTTAAACCTTTTAAAATTACATCAAAGCACCAATAACACATCAATTTAAATGGGAAATAATGATTCCCATGTGTGAACGGTGAAAAAAAATAGGTTCCCTGTGAAGGTTTTCATTTCAATTTCTTGTTTAAAATGTCATTGTAAATAATTACAACAAAATTCAATGCACGGAATAAAACGGCAATCATTATAAAAGTAATAAATAAATAATAAAGGAGGGGATCAGATATCATTCACACACACGCATGCTCACATACACACACAAGTAGTGCCAACATATGCTGTGAACATAAAATAAGTTCAAATTATTGCACATAAAATATATAAATGTATAGAGTTATTGCACTGGATGTAAGTATAAATATTAGATATTACTGGCTGTGTGAGTTCAGCAGCATTCAGTGTTGTTTGGCTACTTTCTAGATTAAATTAAATCAAATTTAACTTAACTTAATTTCATTTTCTGGGCAGAGTTTGCTTCTTTATTAAGAAATGGGTGTACACAACATACTGCTACAGTCAATTACATATTCATTCATACATTTTTGTTTAGTCCCAGTTGAATATTGCAATAACACTGTGTGGTTATCTTAAAACCCCCCAAAGCACACCATTTGAGAGCCACTGAAAATGGATATCTGCAGGAAAGCACGTATTGAGGCTGAGCAATCAGAGCAGTGACACTCTTATCTCCTACCCTGCCATTGCAACAGAGCCGAGGAAGCCTGGTTATTGGCACTAATACTTTTATCAATGCGTTTAGAAATATGGGTTGAAAGTAAAAATGAGAGGCAGGTTTAAAACGGCCTACAAAGACAAACTAGCAAGGACAATAAGATAACTGGGTGCGCCCAGCATGCAAGCCTGAACACACAGGACTTGCCTACTGTGTCTAAACAGGTTTTGCAGGCTGCCATGTTAATGCATAAAGACTGAAATCCATCTGAGTCAAATACTTATGCACATATTCTGCATATTTCCGCGTGTTAACAGCTAAGTTGCATCACGGTTGCCGCTGTTTGCCCTTTAAACGCCTACACACCGTTTTCCTGTGAGGCAACCTGCAACTTCATGTCTTTATCTTGACAGTAAAGGTATTTAACTTTAGCTGACACGTTCACAGTCCTTTACACACTCTTAAAATGTACGTTAGCATAATGTCGCCTTTAGCATCGTGAAGCGAGTTAGCTAACATAGGGATTAAATCTTGCCCTGCTCTGTCACATTAGCATCCAAACATGTTTATTTACAGGTGATATCAGCTGAAAACAACACCCACACATGCGCATTTAAATCACCTTACCTTTGTAACTCAAATGTCCTTACCTCTCTTTATGGTATTCCCACTTTTAGGAGCGGAAAGTCACGCCGAGTTTGCTTGTTTACCTCTATCACTGCAATTATCAAGAGAGGCCGTAAACACGCCGCACTGTCGTAAATCCGCGCGCTGAAAAATGCACATTAAGCTGGAAAAAAAGTGCAGTTCAGCAGCGCCATCTGGTGGTGGAGAGGTGTAAATGTGGTTCATTTAGGATGATTCATTCATTCCCCAAGATAGAGAGAGACAGAGAGAGAGAGAGAGAGAGAGAGAGAGAGAGAGAGAGAGAGAGAGAGAGAGCACTTCATACTCCACCATTAAAGTCATACTGTGCTTTTACTGCGTTTCTATTTGTGTGTTATGCTGCCCTGCTGCAAAATGGTGTTGCTTTTTCGGGGATAGAAAAAATCTGAAGTGATCACACATCACATAGAGCTGCAATGGTCCCCACTGAATGTCTGCCATGTTATGCATGGGCGGACTATGAGACAATAGGGCATGATACATAGGCTTTGTGGTGGCTTTGTCTCTTTTTACATTGTTTTTTTTTACACCTCTTTGCAGTCTTGATGCATCTTTTAGTCATTTTGTGCCTCTTTAAGGTATTTTTTGTCATCTTTTGGTCGCTTTGTGCCTCGGGAAGTGTTAATCTGAGCTCCTTTTTGCGAGTAAAGTCCACAGGGAGGCCGGACACCTGGAGTCCCCTGGGCCTGGTCCTCCAGCAGGCCTGTTCAGTTATTCATCCATAATATTATTGTAGCCCATATCTTCTTCTGTGGTTCTCACATTAACCATTACATTTAAGTGTTAAATTTTGTAATCTTATCATCATTATCATTATTGCTTTCCCATCTTTAATAGTTTTTTTCTTACAAATTAGGCTGTAAATTATATATAATCAGACTTAATCATATTTTTGAAGTGTGTTATCAGTCTATAACTTTGCACAACAATACTGCCAATACTTAATTTTAGTCAGGCCAGGATAAAATAAATACTTCTGTAGGCAGGGGCAGATTATTAGACAATGGGCCCCTGGGCACAGATATGCAGAAGCCACCCCATGTTTCCTAAGGGAGCAAGAGGCATACCTTATAGTTGTATAGTAGTATAGTGTAACCCTACTTTCTTGTTCTGTTGCGTTCTCCAGTCCCTCTGGCTTGTAGGTAATAAGCAAGCGACAGATTCTCTTGTTTTGTTTCTTTAATTCACACCAACATATGTCAAGACAGCATATATCAAACTTCACTCTCAACTGCAGCACATGTTAACCCAGGTCTGTTACGTCAACGGCTGTCCCCTGCAAAACAATGTTACACAGGAACTATAGCTAGTTACTCGTACTCTCACTTGAGGCAAAGGGGACTAACTAAAAATAGCAATTTAAAGGTACACATGAACATACCATAATATTTAAATTAGTAGCCTGGGCTATTATTTGCCTAAACTAGATTTGGGGCAGGCGTTTATATGAGACAGGCTTTTAATTCCTCTCACACAAAGCTGCTGCACTGCAGAGACGGGAAATACAATCAAAGTATTTATTTAAACCAGTGTGAATATTACTTGTTTATATAATGTTGGTTTTGAATGAAGTAGTAGTAGTTTTTTTGCCTCTCTCTTGTTTACCAGCCCAGTAAATCTGAATGAATTACCGTCTTCTTTGGTGCTCATGGTTTCAGTAAAATGAGCTGAATGATTGACTTGTGGAGAATCTTTGCATGCACGATCTAAGCAGCTAATTAACCTTAGCTTCAGCAGGCAGCAAACAGCCCGGTTTTATACATCCAAAAAAAAAAGTATAAAAATGAATGACATGGTAACCAGACCGGGTGTCTAATTGAGACTAGTGTTTATTTAAAGTAAAATTATAGTTGAAGTGCTTTGAATGATAAAGGAATAGTTGCTGCAAGTAATAATACAAATTAAATCTGTAAGTCCAAAATAATAATGTGGAATTATGCCTGCCAAAATATGCCACAGTATTCAGTAACACATAAATTAGTATGGTGACTTAAGTAACTATAATAACCCACAAATATAATATGCACAGTAACTATGGTTACGGTTGTTTAGCCTCATTTTGTGTTGTTGGTTTGCATCTTTTTGTAGTTGTAATGCATGCTTTGCGATTTTGTGTCTCTTTCCCAGCCAGCGTTAGAATGTGGGGCCCATGTGGGTGGTAAATGAGCTGAAAAATGGGCCCTATATGGGACTGTCCACAGGCTCCATATTGGCCCCATGACATTTACCCACATGGGTGGCTTTACTCTGGATAAGATGCCCATTTCAAACCCATACCCACTTTGTATTCTGGTAGCCCCAGCATGATCCATGTGGTGTCCACTCGGGTAAACGCACACATATGGGCAGTTGGCATGGGGCCAATATGGAACACATGGACATTCCCAAATAAGGCCCATTTTTCAGCCCATTTACTACCCACAGGGGCCCCACATACATACGTTGGATGGGTTGTGGTTGTTTTGCTTGTTTTTGTAGGTATTTTGTGTGTCTTTGCAGCTCCTTTGGATATCTTTGTGGTCATTTAGAAACTCTTCCTGGTCAGTACAAGTTAATATGAGTGACAGTTTGCAGATTAGACTCAGGAGGCCCCCTTGCACTTTGGGCCCCTGGGCCTGTCCCCCAGTAGGCACGTTTAGGAATCCTTCCATGACTGTGGGCTGTGTCTAAATCAGTAGGTAAAGCCTGTGACTGCAGTTTGTGAATGAATGTTGACCACATACAAATCAATACATTTGATCTAAATGTGAGGAGTGAGCATAACATTGCCCATATATGTCCATCCTTATATTTTTTTTCCTCACGTTGTATCCATGCCACCAACGCCTCCCTATCTCCCTCCCTCTCCCTCTCTCAGTGTGTGTGTGTGTGTGTGTGTGTGTGTGTGAACTCCCTCCTCCCCATCAATAGCTACCTCTCAGTGTGTGAGTGGCTGTGGTTCTGCGTCTGCCCAAGTCGGCCGGCAGTCATCCCTGGACACTGGTTCAAATTGATGGCGACCACTCCAGACAGCAGCACAGACCGCAGACCCATACGGAGACTCCGCTCCAAGAGCGATACCCCATATCTTGTTGAAGCCAGACTCTCCTTCAACCTGCGGACAGGTAGGCGCATATCCATCCGTCCTGTGCCCCCCAAATCTTTTTTAGATGTTTTGCCTGGTGTCTTCATGTGGGTGGACCAGGAGGGGGATCATAGCTTCAGATACGCGCCTAGTTTACGCGGATGAAAAATTACAACAGTATCCCCACAGGCTTGTATTCCCGTGGACTGGTGTTATAGTTTCCTGTGAAATGCAGCCCTCTATAATTTATTAATGGATAGCTCTGAATATTCTTGTAAGGCAGGGGGAAATGTGACTGAAATGTTATGCAACTTTGTAGACTAACGCTGGTGGTTATTCTGACGTGTCTGACGCAAAGACACCAAGGGAGTCCACATATTAAGCAGCATTTTTTTTTGTACAGCCTTTAAACGCCGCTCATGTGTGAATTTTGGTTTCGTCAGCGCTGGGTAATTTGTACCACTGTAATTCAACGCAGTTATATAATATGAAGAAGCTTCAACGTGACCTGTAGTAGCCAAAGCTTTGACTGTGGTGTACAAAATGTGATGGGATATCCGGTTTGCCCAGCGTTTTGATGTAGATTTTAATCGCCGCATTTTTAAACAGTTGAAATAGATCCCGCGATGATGCTCGTGGTGAATAGCCCTCTGTCTCCATCACCCTTTACAAAGCGTGTTGCATCCCCTGTTACCATGGTGACTTGGCATTTTATGCTGACTGAGTCAACAGGATTCAGATCTTTTGCACTACAGTGTTATTAAGACACACGCTGCATCCAGCTGCCTGGGCTACAGATCTCATGGTAGTCATGATAAGGTTTATTAAAAGGATTGGGGTGATGGTTGAAGCAGCCACAATCAGCATTTGCTTTTCTCTTATTAGTCTCATCCATCTTGACACACCAGTACTTACAGTTACATCTATGAATAGCTTGTTTTGTCTGACTCTCTCTAAAATTACAAAGACATCAGCAGAGAAATGCAGCAAATCTTCATCACACTTGAAAGACTTGATTGCAAATCAATCAGTTAGCTAATCATTTCAGCACATATGTGTTTAAATGTAGATTGACTTGTGTTATCTCAAGTGAGGACAGTAGCAATCTAGACCAGTGGTTCTCAACCTGGGGTCAGCAGAGCATCAGGGATCCTTGTGGGAGCTCCAAAGGGTCCCCAGAAAAAAACAGAAATAATAACAATGCATTTTATGTATAGGCACCTTTCAAAGCACTCAAGGACACCTTACAGCACACAGTTAAAAAAACAAGCAGCATTGTATCCATAGATTATAAAATCATACCATACCAAACCATAATTTTAATATTAGGTATAAAAGCACAAGTATCAATATGTCTGTCACCATTAAACCAGAATGAATATGCCAGCTTGAAAAGGTGTGTTTTCAGACCGGATTTAAAGGTGGAAAGGGAGTCGATATTGCGAATGTCGTGGGGGAAAGAGCTCCAGAGGCAGGTGGCAGAGCGGCTGAAGGCTCTAGAACCCATGGTGGTGGTGGTGATGTGAGTTGGATTGCAGAAGAGGATCTAAGAGTATGGTAGGGTGTGTAGATATGAAGGAGCTCAGAGAGGTAGGAAGGGGCGATTATGAAGGACTTTGGAATAGATGCAACAAATACATTATTTTCACTATTTAATTTGCTATAGATGTGGGGACAGTGTGAGTGCCCAAGGCAGAGTCATAAGCAGGGGGGCACATGCATTTGTACCCCAATACAAACATCGAAATAGTAGCAATACTTTTATTTTAACAAATTGCCAGAATGTGACTGATGCAAAAAGATGCAAAAAGTGGGTGGTGGCAGTGCGTAACCTCAAAAGCAATGGTTGCAATCTGCCATAAAATGCAAAATAAAAGAATGAAGCAAATATGCACAGTTGAAGCAGAAGGTACTGTAACATTTGAACCAGAGATGCACCGATCCCAATGCTGTGGCTTTGAGTATCAGCCGATACCCAATACCGATCCGAAACCATGGTTGACCCAAAAAGCTATAT